GTCATATCCATACATACCCGATCCCGAACCGACTCCCGGACCCCCATCTTTGCCACCTCCAGAGTCCTACCCTACTGCTGTCTGTTCCAATATTCACCTTCGGACCTGACAACTTCCCTCTCCTCCACTCCTCTCCCCGTTCCTCTCTCTCCTCTCTCCTTCCTCTGACCCTCTCCCACCGACCCTCCAGCAAGTTACAACCTTCCACCGCTGCCCTGTACCCTGTACTTGGACACCGCTCGTACCTTTGCTCTGAGATTCCGTCATAGTTCCAACCTCGGACTTTGACTCCACCTTCGCTTAAGTCCATTGCATTGGTGACCTCATACTACATAAACACCATTGCCAATATTCCTGGGACTTTCAACCCCACCTCCATAAGCTCCGTAACCCCCAAGCTCCATGGATCATACTTGGCACTTTCGCCGTCTGTAATGTATCTTTCACGTTTTCCCCTCATCCCTATTTGGACTGCTGCTTCTTCCCATGTCTGATGGCGATGGTTTGGCAGGCTGTACTTGCCTTGACCTCTACTCCACCGAAACAGGTCCTTCACTCCCTGGACATCCTCAACCTCTGCGTGTTGGCCTTGATGACGATGATGGTCATTGGGGCTCATGAACACAACACCCTCCAAATGGCTCAAGCTTTATGTTGTCATTGCAAAGAGCAGGAACTGAACACCTTCGACGTTCTCTTGGAGGAGTTTTCTGACCTCAAGATCACGAATTGTGCATGGAATCCTGAAGAGATGGATGCACAAGAGCATGAGGAATGCCGTACAAAGAGTATCTCCTTTCGCAAGAACATGTTGGAAGCAATCAAACACATTGTTCCTGAGCCTGGGGATGAGTAAAGCTTTCTTTCCCTTCCGACTTCCCCTCCCCCACTACATTCTTTTTACAGCTGTTTCTTCTTTCATTTTTTTCTTACATGTACACATGTTTGAATCCTATGAAATTTGTGACAGAACAACCAAATCCATGGATTCTTGCCATGATGTGGAGTTGGGTTATAGGGTGATTTTTTGGACTTGGATGCTTGATTCCATTTTTTGGATGCTCGACCTTTGGGATGTTGGGAGTTGGAGTGGGGACTGGATGCTGGACTCTGGAGGCTGGAAGCTGGATGGATGCTGGGTCTGACTGCCACCTAAGGAGAAGTGCTGACACTGTGGGCACATTGGATGCTGGCTCTAGCTGTACTGCCACTGCACTGCGACCTACTATGGAGGCTCTCATGGAGAAGTGCTGACACTGTTGGCACTCTGGATGCTGGCTCTGACTGTACTGCCACCTACTATGGAGACCTCTCCAGCAGAAGTGCTGACAGTGTCAGCACTCTGAACACTAGGGTTGGGTAGGGTTGCACTGCACTGCCACCTACTATGCAGCCTCTCATGGAGAAGTGCTGACACTGTCAGCACTCTGGATGCTAGGTCTGACCTCACTGCCACTGCACTGCCACTGAACATGCAGCCTCTCAAGCAGAAGTGCCAACACTGTCAGCACTCTGGATGCTGGCTCTAGCTGAACTGCCACTGCACTGCCACTCACTCTGCAGCCTCTCATGCAGAAGTGCTGACACTGTTGGCACTTTGGATGCTAGGTCTGACCTCAATATGTTTTCTTCCATCCTAGTAGCCCTACTAGGTTTCTATAAAAGGAAATTTCCCTTTATGGGATTTCCCTATATGGAAATAAGGGTTTGTAGTTGTTTGGGATTGTAGTGTGAAGTCTCTGGGATAATGTGTACCTCCAAAACCTTGCCTTGCACTCAAGTTTTATCTACAAACAAAATGTCTTGATCCACTCAATACATCTCCATAGCCACTTGGAGTTCTTCCATGGTCTCAAGACTAAATTTGCAAAGTTTCTCATAGACAAAGGTTTGAAAGATGTGGTAGAACCCAAGGAGGCATGGAATGGTTAGGTACTTGAGGGATAGTTGTAGGAGTTGGGTAGTTGACCCCAAACATGATGTGGTCCACTGTACCATGGTGTCAGGGCACCACACCTGACCATATAGCTCTGGAACCCCCTGAATTGTGGTACCTTGAATCCCTTCAAGATCTGACAGCTGCCTATGGAGAAAGTGAGAAGCTAAGTGGTACTGAGTACCTGCTTTATGACCTTTATCAGCAGATACTGGGGATCATCACAGCACATCCATTCACCCCAAGGCTCCTTCATCCATCCACAACAATGGTTGAAACTGATCACAAACACCTGATTTTAGATTGTACTTTGGTATTGTTACCACATTGGCATACTGTCATATCCCGGAATCCCGACCCCATGCACTCCCACCACACCACACCTTCCTAACAACTTCACCATCCCCTACACCAAGCCTCCCCACTCCCCAAGTCACCTTCCCTCCTGACTGTCTCAGCTCCGGTCTGGTTGCGGTGCACCGAACCTTGGCCACTCCCATCCCAGAAGCTTGGTCCCGAGTCAGAACATTTGGAGACTCTGGATTTGCTCTGATATCCCGATAGACCTCCGACATCCCGTGACATACCCTTAAACCTTTCCTCCACCCATTTCATTTATTTGAGTCACCCAACATCCTTTGGATACGTAACTCTTTCAGAGTTACCCGCATCCTTCGGTGATCTCACCCACATCATCACTTATTAGTCACCTTCCATTCTTAGCATGACTATCTTCTTCTTATCATTCAGTCAGCTAACCCCCCTTACCCATTTCTCGTTCCCATTCATTTTCTGGCCTCTTATTCCACCCTCCTTGGTCTGACACCTCGGTTCCCCATTAAAGATATTGTTCGGCACCTTTCGGTGTTGTCCCATTGTCATTCGGACTTTGACTAAGTCCTTTCCATTCCCCTTTATAAATACCCATAGATTAGAACCTGTAGTTCCTCAGTTCTAATCTCGACTAAAATGCCACCCCAAAGTCCCTCTGAGTGAATCCCATTCCCATTCTACAAGATACCTCAGACATGAGAAATACAAGGACTAACTGAGATGTAATGGAGGCACAGCACCCCCTCCGAGTCGCTGAGGCCATGTCCTTCTTAGAGCCTCTTGTACCATCCAGCAGAACCAGGCTCCCTGAGAAGCTTCGGTCCACTACCGGAGCTCTCGGACCCCCCTCTAGTTGAGCCCCACCTGCATTCGGACTCATGCATTTACCCCATACGATCTGGGTTCTTGACACATACCAACAAATGGTGATTGAGATTAAGAAAAACCATATTGATAGTTTGTTTTCTGTCACGACCCGACATATCCATCACTTCCCTCTATGCGCCCTAGTGCCACTTGGTCCGTCCCTCCCGCTATCATCATCATCCATCCACCCATCTGTCCACCCGTCACCCTCATCCGCACTTCCTCCCTCGCGCGCATACCTACCAACCTAGGTTGCCCACTTCATTGTTGTCCACCCCCAGCCGGACGGCTTGCTAGACGGCCGGATGGCCTTTTCTCTTTTGTCCGCTTACGGACTATTGTTCTTTCCTTTTGTTCCTTGCTTGCCTTTTGTTGATCAAGTTTGCCGATATTAACTATTTGTTCCTTTCTTCATTCATTAATATCGCACTTGATCCGCCACTCCTTCCAGGCCAGTCTCATTTAGTTACTTGTGTTTATAACGCGTGTAGGTTACACCGGATGTACCTCAGTTTGTATATCAACTTGGATTCCCCCTCTAACTCTTATCCTCATCGTAAGGCTTCTGTTTGAAATTGGGACACCAACGTAAGAACGAAGCGCAGCGCTCCACCCGAGTCGCTGAAGCTAAAAGTCCCACCCCTCCGACCTTACGAGCCCAGACGACTTCACGCGCCTCGCAGGTCACCCGGATACACTTCTGGCACGTTCCTGACATTTTCCCCCTTCAGACATTTGTGTGTAAATTTGATGATGGGTTCACAGATTTTACTCCCTATGTTTAGCTCACCTTGCCTATTGCTTTTAAGGTCCCAGACATCATGAGTCTCATCTTCCTCAGGTCATCTGCCAAGCTTTCATGGCATTGCATGCTAGCAAGTAATGTACCATACCCTATTTGTTGGGGCACACTTTTCTCTGTTCTGGTTTACACTGCCAAAGAATCTATTACAACCCCCCCCAAGAGATGGATAGCATTCCTGTATCCTAGCTCCTCCCCTGTGACTGCATCCAACTTCTCATTTTTTCCCAACCTGCCCTCAATGGCCATGTAATATTTGGGACCTTGGTGAGTGGATGCAGAGCCTGATGTATGTTATATTCTCAAGGTGATGTTGAACAGAGATAATTGAGGCAGAGAAGACTTGGGCAATCTTCTCAGTGAAATTTTGTGATTCCTTTGTGGATTCTCCAGTGTCTGCCTGAAGTCTGCAAACTCCATGCTATCATGTTGATCAGGGGCCAAGAAAGCTGCCAGACACAGGTGTACTGAGTATAATTATGATCAGCAAGGTAGATGGAAAATGAAAGAATTCTCACTTACATTCTGCATTCTTGAGGTCCAATTCCTGAGGAAGCTTGTGGGGGCATACTCATTGAACCAAGGGATCCCCTTCATAAGCTTCATAGCTGTAATCATAGGCTTTGATCAAGTAACAACTCTGAGAGGGGTGCAAGATGTGCAAGATGATTTCCCAGCATCTGCTGCCCCAAAGCCTAGATATTGCAATCCAAATGAATAAAGAAGTTGCCACTGCTCCACCATCCATTCCCTCCAAGTGGCCACCCATGTTTAGCCCAGTTTCAATATTGTCAAGGTCTATTTGGCTGTGTCCGTGAGATGTAGGGTTTGGGGTTCAACTCTGCTCCATCTTCATCACTGTCAGAAGGCACTGTCTTAAGTTTCCATCAATGATATGGATTACTTGAAGGTCTTGAACCCTCTGCTTGGTTGCTTGAGGACCCTGAGGAAGGCAGGGTTGAATCAAAGAGTCCAGGGGAGCTAGGGGCAGATGAAATCAGAGATAAACCAGTCACAGATGTTGACATCATGGCATCAGTGTTCCCAAAAATGGGGTTGAAATCAGTGGCTGATGAGGAAGATGGGAGTCTTGGAGGCACATCTCCAGACAGCTACTCTCATTGGCTGATGCAAATTATCCACCTCTTCCTGAGTAGCCACAGGGTCAGAGAGGTTGGCCACACACTCTGGAATTTGCATGCAAAGACAGTGTAGTCCTTGGGATAGAGCCTGCTGTAATGGCAAATGATGTGCTGTCTCAGCGATGCCTTCTCCACTGGCATATGTAATTGCCATAAACATGGCAGAGAAGACTTCCTCAGTTGGTGGGTTACCCACCAATGAATAGCCAAAGGAAAGATGTTGACAAGAGTCCATCACAAATGCCAAGAGCATTGCTGTGCTCATTTCACAGCTATACATCTCACCATCCTGCTGCAATTGCTGATGGCTATCCACCCAGCTGGAATGAAGAGATCAGGTCATGCAGTGGGGGAGAGAAAGAATGAAGTGTCCATAAGGCCCCCTATGCATGGGTCCCAACCTTCCTCTCGTTTTGACAGTGTAAAAGTGGATTTGGCCAGGAGCCATGATGCTAGAACATACCATCAATACTGTTGGAAGATCATCAGAGGAACAACCTACAGAGTTTGCCCTGGGGAGAGGATAAAGTGGCTATACTTGTGAGGGGGGTGGAAGAGGTACTCAAACCTGATTGCACTGTCAGATCTGATTTCGTTGAACCTCACAATCAAGGGTTGGGACATGTTGATCAGGAAGAATAGTAGTTTGTGTCCCACCTTGCAACGTAGAACAGTGCCTACACTGTGGGGATCTTGATGTATAGCTGTGAAGGATCCTGTGGCAGCAAGCATAGGAGACCTCCAAGCAGCATCATCTTCAGGGACACCCAAGTATTGGAACATGACACTGTCTGGAGTGTCAAGGAGACTGAAAATGAAACAAAAAAAATTCAGGTACAATGTGGAAAGTGTGAAAAGAGCTAATGTGGAACATGAACACTTCCCTTGAGATGGTGCAGCACCAATGGTTTTGAAGTCTGCCAATCAGAGATTCCACTGAGAACTCAATCCAAGGGTTCTCAGGTCAGCTGGTTGTCATCACCAGATCCAGACATTTCAGAATCTGGAGAATGATTTCCATATGAGCCCAGCATATGTGAAAAAACAAGCAAATCTGACTCACCAAGGCACTGGACTTGGCCAGTCTTGCTCAACAGGGAGCAAAGACAGTGATCATCCAGAGGGTTGCAATGTGGAGGGCCCACAACCAGCATTATTGTCAGGGCAATAGCCCCAAACCCCAAGCCATATGTAATTACGATGTACATATAGTCACATGGGTAAGCAGAAACTTCTGGTGAACCGCTTACACACACCGTAATATACACACCATCATATCACTTATGGCCTCATGTGCTGAGCATCCCCCACTGAGACCTCACACTTTTTTAAGTGTATGAGGTGTGTTTTACAACACAACCCACAAAAACTATCACATTGCATTAACAACCTGACTCGTTAGTGCTGATGGTGCCAAAACATGCCTGCAAGGGCAAGGTTGCATCTGCAGCGATGATAAAGAAAAACAAGCAGTTTATAAAGAAACCACAATCTCCCATTATGGGAGATTCAAAGCAACAGCCATTGTCAGATGACGATGAAAATCAACATGATCCAGAAAGAACAACCACCTCAGGGCTGGTCCCTGAAGGTTTTAAAAACTTATGTGGAGTAAGTGCAGGCCCCAATACCCCTAGAACTCCATGCCACATTGATCTCACCCAAGTTGGGGAAGATCTCTTGCCTCCAGAGGAGGTGATCGACTTGCATGATAAATGCATAGTGCCAAACAATCAGCCCACAAAGCTGATTGGATACAGTCACAGGAAACTCCAGGGCCCCACTATCCCCTGGAGTCTTCCCCCATTTCCCCAAGTCAAGCCCCAAAGGCAGACAAAGGGAAACAGAGGGAAGAACCTCCACATCGACTATCCAAAAAACTACTGGACTTGTTCCAGGTCCCATCTGAATGGAGGATGGGAAACAAGAACAACTTCTTCTCAGGCTAAAGGCCTGAGAAGGCACATGCCAGACAAGGCAAGGTCGCCAACCTCAGAGGAGGTCCCTGAGATCATGAAGAGAAGGTGAACCAAAATGAGGGAGTTCGCTGAGGAAGCCTTACAGAAAAGTAAGGAAAAACCAGCAAACAGACCCCTCCATGAAAAGGAAGCACCCTCCGCAACAGCCTCGCCTAAACAAAGCGAGTGTAGAGTCTTTATGCCAAGAACCCCTTCTGGAACCCCCAGAAGTGGCAATGTTAACTGGGGAGAGTCACTACTCGCCCAGCCAAACTTCCTCCTGGAAAACCAGGAATCATGCATAATAAACATGATAAACTCAATCCAAAAAAAGATCGAGGAAACAAGCCATAATAGCACAGCTCATCTAGAGATAACTCTAGAAAGAATGGCCAATGCAATTGACGTGTTGACTGATTGGCCGAGCTTGTGAGGCATTGTTTATAGAGGGGTCAGTTTTTTTTTTGTGGGAATATACCGTGTGAAAGTGCAATCCCACCCCCCCATGGCCACCCTGTGAGAAATGGCCACCCCATGGGATCCATGCAACATCAGATCCAGATGTATATCTCATCCATGCAATGTGTCATATCTGTGCATACCCGACCCCGACCCGACTTCCGGACCTCCACCCTCTTCACCTCCGGAGTCATAACCTACCGCTGCCGTTCCGATACTCACCTCCGGTCTTGGCAACACACCTCCTCCTTACCCCCCACGCCACCTCTACTCCTCCTCCTACTCCACTCCCCCTCCGCAACGCCTCCACCCCCCGTAATCCTCCCACGCTTCCCCCCGCCCGCTCCGATACTCGCCTTCGGACCTGACAACCCTCCTCTCCGCCACTCCTTCCCCCTTACCTTTCCCCTCTCTCCTCCCTCTGGTACTCCTCCGCCACCCTTCCGCCAAGTTACGACCTTCCACTGCTGTCCCGTACTTCCTACTCGGACACCGATCATATCTTCGCTCCAAGCCTCCGTCATAGTCCTGACCTCGGACTTTGACTCCACCTCGGTCTTAGTCCATTGCATTGGTGACCTCATACTACGTAAACACCATTGCCAATATCCCTCGGACTTTCAACCCCGCCTCCGTAACCCCCGTAAGCTCCGTAACCCCTGAGCTTCACGGATCGCCTTCGGCACTTTCGCCGCTTGTAATGTATCTCTCGCGTTTACCCCTCATCCCTATTTGGACTACTGCTTCTTCCATTCTAGCCAGTTAGTCATCATCCCCACTTCTCCTCATCCTCCTGCCCCTCTGGGCCTTGCCCTCCCTACCTCCTTTCGGATGTATCACAGGTCCTTCCTTATGACCTTTCGGTACCGCTCCGCTCCTTCTTCCCTTTGTCCCCGTTCAGATGTCTTCGTTCCGATTCGGTTCCCCTTTGTTTCCTTGTGCTTTTGCCCCTTCCATTATATATATCGGTGCTTGTACATACTCGTGGGTTCAGTCCGAAATCGATCTGAAATGCCCCCTAGAGACTTCCTGCTCACCTACTGTGAAATTAAGGACCAAATGGACAAACAGCAATGGCACAGCGCTCCGCTTGAGTCGCTGGGGCCAAGGTCCCTCCACGCTAAGTCTCCGATTCCACTCCGGAGTCGTCAGAATCCGCCCGTTTCTAACACAATGTGTGTGCCACAAAATATTGTGGCAACACTTGCAGTGTTGTATGTTAATAAATAATAATCATTTAAACTATATATTTATTAACTTTGAGGGAAACTTAGGCTCTATGTAGCCTTTTAACCTTATCAACATAAGAGTGATATTGTGGCTGTGCTACATACATGCATGGTAGGCAGGATAACCTACTATACTCTACACTGCTGGTATTTTTGCGGTTTACATTCCTTATGGGTTCCTTGCATGCAAAGATCACCTCCCAATGCCCATGGAGCATAAAAACAATTTATTCCATTTTATAACAGAGTACAGTTATGCATAACATGCTGGTACTGAATTGGTTCAGCCCAAAAACTATGCTTGGCACTGCTGACCACCGAGAGACGATCAAGGGCTCAAAAAATAGAGAAAAATGATAAACATGGATCCCCCAAATTTCATCCAGATTGACCCAGCTGTTGTGGAGCAATGGTGGTGACAATTTCTCATCTTACTCTAAGGTTCCACACAATGTCAAAAGGCACATGAGGGTGGCAGTGTTGAAAGTCCCATGTGGCGGAGCTGAGATCCATACTTCAGGAGATCACGAAACTGGTTTTTGGCCCAAAATGGAAATCACAAGCTGTACAGAAGTAAACAAACAACCAAAATGCACTCTGGAGTGCTCAGAAACTTTCAGAAAAATCACAAAGGATGTGTATGAAGATTCAATTGACATGGGGACTCTCATGGACACTTTCCAGGATGCCTAACCCTGTGCATGGGCCAATTTCATGATTCTCATGCCCACCACTCAGTCAAATCTCAACCATTTGGGACAAATTTGGTATTGGGACCAAGCTACAAACCCGGGGAATCAAATGGAGAGGTTGGGAAGAGATGCTACAGGTAGGAGGAGATGGATGAGTGTGGTGTGATGATGGAAATTGGTGGAGGATGGCAATTATTAGCAGATATGGCCCACTTATCACTCCTGTTTTCTTTTATTGAACTTCCACATCAACTGTTGGACTTATCAGCCATACATAACTGTCTACATGGTGCTCATAACAACAATCTTTCATTTTATATTTTCTTTTCATTTATTATTGCCATTCCATGTGTTTAAAGCCCTGTACACATAGGAATGGAAAGAGGACCTCCCTTTTGACTACAAAAGAGACTGTAGTGCTGAGAGATCCAAGTAGAAAAGAAACCCTAAGCTTGACTCCTTGAGTATTGTCAGGGCACGCCACTCCGCTCCACGCTGCACCCTCCCACTCCTCCTCTTTCCTTTCCCTTTCTTCTCTCTTTCTTTCTTTCTTTCTTTCTTTCTTTCTGTATATGGATGACCTCTCCTCTTACCTGTGTAGCACAGATGCATCTGACGCTGAGTACTCCATGTGGGTACCGTGCCACTGGATATGCCGCGCACCCTCACTTGTACCTCTCTCCTCTAACACTCAGGATTACCCATGGAGCCACCTGCAATCACCTGGCTCTGCCCAGGCTAATGTGGCACCCCCACATGACCCGTTCCTGCCTGTATATAAACTGAGCCAAAGCAGAACCGAAGAAGTAGCCTTCTTCTCATTACTGCTTCAGGCAAGTACCTTAGTCTAGCTTAGTTCAGTTTCGCCTTTCATTCTAATAACAACCATTACTGCTTCAGCCTAAGAAGCCAGACAGGGATGCGAGCCTGAGTGAGGGCCACTCACGATACATTCCCATTACTCCGCCACCACCCAGGCTGCTACCCCTGCCTCTCCTGTACCATCCCTGACAAGTATTATAAGGAATCCCTGATGATTGTCCAAGATGGACTGTCAGAGTACTGCAGTTCTCTGCCATTTATTCCATTCATTCTCATTTATCACTTCCTTTTTATCTCTCTCACGAGCCAAGTCATTTCTTATTTGTCAGAGGTCCTTGCCTCATGTCATTGTTTGTATGTCAGCATATCTACACAGCCCCCATAGATTGGGCAGATTTGGACAACTCCAGAGTGGAATTGGAGACTTAGCATGGAAGGACCTCAGCCTCAGTGACTCAGGCAGAGTGCTGTGCCTGTCAGGGCCCAGCCTCAGACTCAGAGGCTCCCTGACCTCAACCCCCATCTGACCTGTCCTCACACTATGTGGGGCATGAGATGAGATAAAGGAATGGGTCACATGCCCACAACTATACAGCTCCTAGAGTTGTGTAGTGTGACCCGGT